ACAGCTCCACATAAGATCACGAGTAATCCTTTAACGTTTCCCATCGAAAAACATCATGACATGACTTGTCACCACTCATCATGATTTTGGACTTTGTGTGTTTAGGCTGCTCTGGTGCGAAATACATAATAAATAAAAGAAAAACTATGTTATTTTTGAAAAGTCGAGAGCTTCCTGAATCTGTCAATACCAAACATCACATGGTTTGATGACGTAGTGCGCCTGGGAGATACCATTTAACAGAGGAGGAGGGGAGCGAGGACGTCCTGGCGGAGTTAGAGAGGTTAAAATATTCATTGCATATAAACAACTGGTTGGGCAGTCGTTAAATCTGAAAACATGAAACCAAAGATGACTCACCGTGAGGTTACTTCCCTCTTTGAATTCTACTTTAATAGAGCAGTTGGAAGTGGAGCCGCTGTATCGCAGATTTGTCACGATTATACTTCCAGGACCATTGACTTCGTCGACTGCAGACACACGGACTCTGTCTGAATTCACTCCGTTGTCCACCGACAGACAGTCTAGAGCAGTGGCATTCTGGCTATCTTTGAAACAAATTGCAAGGCCTGAATTTATAAACGACACCTGCAGGGACACAGAGACATGAAGTAACAACGATATTAAGGCTTTTTACTAAGGACAGGGTTTGAATCAAAAACAGCATCATTTACAAACATACTTCATTTAATTTTTTTTTGTTTTACCCATACAAAAGCACAAATGGTGTCTAATGTTGCAGCTGGTAAAAGCTCTTGACCCTCATCCATTCATCCCTCGCCCTTTACATTCATCGCTTCATCCCTCAACCCTCACCATTAATTCCTTGACCCTCATCCATTCCAACATTTCAGTGGAATTTTCAATTCAGCATTTGTGCTTTAACAGAGTATGTTATGGGATGAGGGTGGAGAGATGAATGGATGAAAGGATTAGGGGTTGAATGGTGAAGTGTGAGGAATGAATGGTCGAGGGATGAGGTAAGAAGGCAATAGGGATGAAGGTATGAGGGAATGACAGGATGTAGGATGAAGGGGTGAGAGGATGAGGCTCAAAGGATGAGGGGTTGAGGGATGAAAGGATGAGGGTGGAGAGATGAAGGAATGAGGGGATGATAAGATGTAGGGTGAAGGGATGAGAGGATATAAGATGGGTATGGGTTGAGAATTGAAGGGATGAGGGAAGAGGGTTGAAGGTCAAAGGTAGAAGGGATGAAGGGATAAGGGTTGAGTGATGAATGGATGAAGGGTGAGGAATGAAAGGGTGAGGGTCAAGGGATGAAAGATTGAGGTCAGGAGGGTCTAGGGTAGAAGGGATGAAGGGCCGAGGGTCAAGAATGAGGGGTCAGTGATAAATGGATGAGGATCGAGGGATAAAGAGAGAGAGATGAAAGTGAAGCGTGAGGGATGAATGTGAAGGGTGCGGGATGAATGCGTAAGGATGAGAGCCGAAGGATAAATGGTGAGGAGTGAATGGGTGATGTTCGAGGGATGAGCTGATGAGGGTCAAGGGTTGAAGGATGAATAGATGAAGGGTGAGGGATGAAAGATTGAGGGTCAAGGGTAGAAGGGATGAAGTGATGAGGGTTGAGCAATGAAAGGATGAAGGGTGTGGGATGAATGGATGAGGGTGAAGGTTTAAAGGGATGAGGGTTGAGGGATGAAGGGATGAATGTGAAGGGTGCGGGATGAATGGATGAGGGTCAAGAGTTAAAGGGACGAGGGTCAAGGGATGAAGAGATGAATGTGAAGGGTGCGGGATGAATGGGTAAGGATGAGAGCCGAAGGATAAATGGTGACGGGTGAATGGGTGATGTTCGAGGGATGAGCTGATGAGGGTCAAGGGCTGAAGGATGAATAGATGAAGGGTGAGGGATGAGAGATTGAGGGTCAAGGGTAGAAGGGATGAAGGGATGAGGGTTGAGCGATGAAAGGATGAAGGGTGTGGGATGAATGGATGAGGGTGAAGGTTTAAAGGGATGAGGGTTGAGGGATGAAGGGATGAATGTGAAGGGTGCGGGATGAATAGATGAGGGTCAAGGGTTAAAGGGACGAGGGTCGAGGGATGAAGAGATGAATGTGAAGGGTGCGGGATGAATAGATGAGGGTCAAGGGTTAAAGGGACGAGGGTCGAGGGATGAAGAGATGAATGTGAAGGGTAAGGGGTTGAAGGGATGAGAGATAAAGGGTTAAGGTTCCAGAGGTTTTACCAGCTGCAACATGAAAGTGATGAACACATTAATGCATAAATAATTATAATCCAATAATATAACATACATTATTCTCCACACATGCTAATTTTACTCACTTGCACCCAGCTGTATGAATGTCCATAGAAGTTGATTGGACAAGCGGTGATGTTTGTCTCTAATAAACCAACTGTAAATGACGGATCACCGTTGGCCTGGCTGGCAGCAACTACAACGTGAATATAAAGGAAAAAGAAACATCATATATCAGTCTAATCAGGACCAACATTATAATTCACACCTCTGATTCATTTATGATTTAATAAATGAGCATTTAAAAATATATCACTCAAGAAATGTTTTCACTGTTTCCAATTGCTCACAGAAAGTTACAACATGTACCTGTAATATTTCACAGTAAATTACATTATTATCACCTTGAGGGCTGAACTGTGATATTTAACCATATTCTGAGTTTCACTGTGAAATTCATGCAGATGAATTTAATAATTTTTACAGAAGCACACGGCTGAATCACATACCATTATATCACAGTAATGCAATAGGCTTTAACTGTGAGGTCACAATTGAATATCCTCCTGAGACCCTGTGTCCTCATATGTGGACGTCACATTCTGGGTTTACTCGACCTCATACTTCATCCTGTTGTCCTCGTTCGTGGACACTTTTTTGTGCCATCCAGTGGTAGTAAGAGCACAATACACTAATCCATGTAAAAACAAGATGGCAGCCATCTCTGCCATCTTGTTTCAAGATTTATATAAAAAAAATGTTAAGATATTCACAAATGTTTTTCATTTATTTGGGAATAAATTACATTTACTCATGGATATTTTCAAACTGTATTTGTAGATCCGTTTTATATTTCCATAATAGTTTGAGGTTACAAATGTTCTATTTTTGTATAAGTTTTATATTTTATACTGTACATTACACATTGTATGTATATATGTATGTATGTTTTATTCAGTCATCATCATCACATACAACATAGGAACATACACAGATTTTCACAACAACAACAATAATAATCTTAAATATAAACATTCTAGGTAACACACAAAACAATGTTAATTAATATATGATGGTAATGACTGAAAAGGTATAGGCTGAAGCATAATGCTCATATTTGCCTACCCTACATAAATCCTAAATTAAGCAACCCATCAAACATCATTTATATGAAAAAAGAAAAAAAGAAAAAACTATTCCAATTTATAACTCTCAAAAAAAGCCTTAACAACCATTTGTTTAAAAATCAACAATGAGTTACACATTCGTAAATTTAAATCAGCATCATTCCAAAATCTAACCCCAACAACAGAAATACATCTTCTTTTAATTCCCTTCTTAGCTATTGGGACAGTAAACTTAGAAACATCTCTCAAACCATATTTCCCTTCCCGCACAGAAAAGAACCTTTGTACTGTATCCGGCAGTGACTTTGTTTTTACTCTGTACATTATTTGCATTATTTTAAAATAAACCAGATCACTGAATTTCAAAACATGTGACTTCATGAACAATGGATTTGTGTGATCATAATAACCAGCCTTACTGATAAGACGAATAGCTCGTTTTTGTAACACAATTATTGAGTTTATAGCTGTTTTAAAAGTTGATCCCCACAGTTCTACACAGTACGACATATATGGAAGTATAAGTGAACAATAAATAATATACAAGCATTTATAACACATTAACACACGGACTGTCAGTTTGTTCAAACAAATAACACTGAGACAAATGTATCTCCATAAAATTAACTAAAGAGACCAAAACTGTTCTATTTTTATTTTTATACCAGGCTGTAAACATGTTTCTTTCTGTTGTAAAGCCTCAAGTAGTCATTAGAGGAACTCCAGCATTTTGGCACATCTGCACTTGCTTCATTTTTCAGCCCTGTTTGTTACATCTTGTTTCTTCACCACTATATCTCAGAGGGAAAGGTGCAAACAAATGTAACTCCGTATATTTGGGCTTTCCTGAATAGCCGCATTCGTACTGTCGGGCCGTCTCACTTTTAAACCCGCCCAGCCATGCAGTCATTTTTGCAGAGAGGATTTGACTTTTAAATTACTTTTAGAAAGAAATGTGTAAAATCTGCTGAATATACACGAGTCATCATACACATTTAGAATAAATGTTATATTCAAGAGCACCAAAAAGGTTTTTGTTTTCAATGGCTGCTTACCAGCCAGCAGGAGGAGCAGTGCACCTGGCTTCACCATAATGTAGCCCCAGCAGTAAACTGTTGGAGAGCTGGGGGAGACACAGATCACATAGTAAGTGGAAAAACATGTTATTTAATCCCTTCAATAAATTCCATACCCCACACAAGTATTTTAATGCCTTTCTTGCTTACTGACCCCGACTGAACACCTTAAGCTGTACCTTATTCACCAATTTAGTTTTTACAGCAAACGGCTCCATGTGAACTCTTTCAGATGAGGCCCATACAGTCACAGTGAGCAAAAACTCAGTGATAGCATCATAAAAAAAAGCAGAATGATTTTGTAAGTGCATAAATATCGCTACATGAAGACAGACGCAGAGAGGAAGGGCGTGCAGCTCATCTCACCGTCGGGTGGAGCAGCAGGTAGATGAAGCGCTGCAGGTGGAAGTCGGTGTTGAACCACTCTGGGATGTTTCAGCTCTGTTGCAGATGTGCCTGCTGTGTGTCTTTCTCTGCCTCTTTTTATGCAGGTACACACACCCCTGAAAACTGACGTAAATTTTAGATTCTCTGAGTATTTTGACTCCCCAAACTGGCTTTTTGTGATCTTGTACAGTGACAGCATGTCAATGTTACTGTCATTACATAAGAGCTTTCACAATTGATGCGCAGTTCATGAGAAAATATTTTGAAAGTTTTTGACTCCCCAAACTGGCTTTATGTGACCATTAGCTTCCCATACCACTCAATGCTTTTAGCGACTATCACAATCTGTGAGAAGCCCACAAAGAAATATTTTCCTGTGTGGGCTGATTCACATGACCAAAGTAAACATTTCTCCATTAAATCTCTACAGGGTTTTGGTGGTTTTGTTTTAAGGTGAAAGTGTTTCAGGTAAATATGATTTATGTCTGGTAAACAAATATCCACTAATATTAAAAAATATTGCAAAATTCTCTGGTTTAGGCTGTAAATGCTGAGATCAGATGGGAACTGCCCATTGGTCCGACAGCCCATTGGTCCGACAGCCCATTGGTCCAACCATATTAAACTCATTGTTCCGAAGTCCGTCCCGAAATCATCATGATGCCCTGTGGTTAAGATCTGGTTAGGTTTAGGCACAAAAACCACTTGGTTAGGGTCAGGAAAAGATCATGGTGTGGGTTAAAATGAAAAAGAAAGTGATAAACACATAAGCCGTGAGCCTGCTCTGCCTCAAGCCTTTCCCAGCTGACCCAGAGCCGGTTGCGGCGCACCATCAAGGCAGAAATACGCCTGCCGGGAGCCGTTCAGCACCGCGGACAGTCGGAATAACGGGATGTCGAACTAATGGGCTGTCGGACCAATGACATGGACCCGATCAGCTAACATGTGTGTACACTGGGAGTAGAGATGACGACACACATGGATGTTTTTAACTGAACACAAAATTACACGATGGAGACAAAAATCAACCACAAGGAGACACAAAATTACTCGATGGACACAAAAATCAACCACAAGGAGACACAAAATTACTCGATAGAGACAAAAATCAACCACAAGGAGACACAAAATTACTCGATGGACACAAAAATCAACCACAAGGAGACACAAAATTACACGATAGAGACAAAAATCAACCACAAGGAGACACAAAATTACTC